TGAAGAAAATTCTAAAATTTTTCTGATGCCTTTGTTATATGCAAGATTAAGTTTTGTTTTAGTTAATATTTGTGCACCAAAGTTCTGTGCAGGGTATGGGACAGGGAAAGGATCTACTCTCTCACCATTTCTTTTCAACATTATACTGGAAGTTCTAGCTAATGCAATAAGACAAGAAAATAAAATAAAAGATAAAGAAACAGAAAAAAGAAATCAATCACTCCTTGCAGATGACTTCATTGTTTATGTAGAAAATCTGAAAGAACTGACAAAAAAGCTTCTAGAACTACTGATTATAGCAAGGTTTTATGATATAAGGTTAACATTAAAAAGTCATTCATCTTCTTATATACCAGGAATGAACAATTGTAATTTGAAATTAAAAACACAACGCCATTTACATTAGCACAAAAAAAGTAAAATACTTACATATAAATCTAATAAAATATGTACTAAATCTATATGAAGAACACTAAAAACTCTGATGAAAGAAATCAAAGAAGATCTATATAAATGGAGATTTAGTCTACATTCACGGACAGGAAGACTCAATATTGTGAAGATGTAAGTTTGATCAAATTGATCTATAGATTCAATAGATTAACTTATACAATTAATCTATACAATTTCAATCAAAATTTTAGCAAGTTAATTTTTGCGCCAAATTAATTTTAAAGTTTATATGGCGAGGTGAAAGATAACAGAATAGCCAACACAACATTGAAAAAGCAGAACGAAGTTGAGGACTGACCCTACCTTGAAGGACTTCAAGACTTACTGTAAAGCTACAGTAGTCAAAACAGTGAAGTATTGAAAAAGTAATAGACAGATAGATCAATGGAACAGAATAGAGAGCGGAGAAGTAAACCCACACAAATATAGTCGCCTTACCTTGATTAAGTGGGCAAAGACAAGTCAATGCAGAAAAGGATAGTCATTCAACAAATTATGCTGGAGCACAGGACATTCCAATGCTGGGGGGAAAAAAAATCTAGACACAGTTAATTTCCTAGAAATTAACTCAAAATGGATCATAGACCTAAATGTAAAAACAAAAGTATAAAATTTTTAGAAGATGATGTAAGAGAAATTCTAGGTAAACTCAGGCTTGAAAACAACATTTTAGATAAAACACCAAAGGCACAATCCATGAAAAAAATAACTTACAAGTTGTACTTCATAAAAGTTAAAAACTTCTGCTCTGTGAAAGACGTTAAGATAGTGAAATGACAAGTCATACTCAGAATGAAAATATTTGCAAAATGCATATGTGAAAAAGGGCTGGTATCCGAAATATACAAAGAACTCTTAAAACTCAACAAAAGGAAAACAAACAACCCAACTTTAAAATTGGACCAAATATCTGAAGAGACCCCTCACTGAAGAAGATACAGTGAAAGCAAATATAAGATGTTCAGCATCATATGTCAATAGGGTATTGCAAATTAAAACAGTGGAACACAGCTACACCACCTATTGGAATAAACAAAATCCAAAGCACTGACAACACCAAACCCTGGCAAAGATATGGAGCAACAGGAACTGTGATTCATTGCTCATGTAATGCAGATTGTTTGCTACTTTGGAAGACAGATTGGCAAGTTCTTACAAAGTCTGGCTGTACAATTGCCGAATCATGGTCACCAAAACTTGGATATAAATGTTTCTAGTGCCTTTATTTCTAATTGCAAAAGCTGGAAGCAACCAAGATGTCCTTTAGTAGGTTAATGGATAAACAAACTGTGGTACGTTCATGTAGTGGAATATTGTTTACCGATTAACACTAAGCTAATAAGTCATGAAACAAACATGAATGAACCTTAAATGCATATTAATAAGTGAAAGTATCCAGTCATAAAAGGCTACGTACATGTATAATTCCAACTACATGACCTTCTGGAAAAGTCAAAACTGTGAGACAGTAAAAAGATCAGTGGTTTCCAGGAGTGAGGAAAGAGGTATAAATGACTCTGCAGAGCACAGGAGATGCTCAGGGCAGTGAAACGATCACTGTCCTGTTTTGCATTTCTCAAAACCCAATGTAAGCTGTGGACTTTAATAAGAATGTATCAATACTGGCTCATCAATTTTAACAAATATTCACACTAAGAGAAGATGTTAATAATAGAGAAAACAGTGGATTGGGGGCAGGTAAAAAGGACGTATATTGGATCTCTCAGAAACATCTTAATTTTTCTGGAAACTTACAACTGCTCTGCAAAAGAAAATGTATTAATTTTTTAAAAGGTCTATGTTGAAAAAAAGCTGCATTATTATTTCTTGTAATGTATTAATATGTGTAAATTTATGGAAATGAAACTAATAATGCCATTTAACAGAATCACTTTTCTTTTCTTAACCAGCCAGAATTTATACATATATGCTAGAGAAATCCAGACTCATTTCACAGCCTGCTGGCCAGAGCAATTTTCTCATTTTCTACTTGTTGATGGATGGGTTATCGGCTGAAGAAAAATATGGACTTCACCTTAATAATTTATGTGCACACCGGTGAGTGACTGTGTGTTTTCTATCTAGTAGTGCTGACTTCAAATTGTGATTGCAATTTAGCTGTCTTACACTGTCTTCTTACATTTCACAGAAGAAATGGTGACTGAGGGAGAATTGTTGGATACTGTTAGGTTAGAACCTTGTTTATAAAAGGTTATAGCTATCTATTAAATGTTTAGGTGGAGTTTTATGTGCATATGTATTAACTTAAGTTTCTATTTTACTAGCTTTCAGATCAGAATTTTAAAAATTAGTGCATGTATAATCTTTTCTATTTATGCAGGCTATTTTGTACATAGCATTAGGTGTGCATTTCTAATCTTTGTCTGTCTTTTGAAATGCTGCGATATGTTATTGCAGTAATTATTATTCATTAGTAAGAGCTGAAGTTACATAATGGATTAAGGTGAACAATGCACATAAACTGAGGGGCTGATTTTGTGCACTGGGGGCAGAAAGCTTTGACTGCAGGGTGATAGTGGAAGGGGAAGACCATGAAGAGCATGAGCTGAAGGATGTTTTCTCAGTGTGTGCCTTTCTGCCAGCTGCCTGATCCCATGCGTTTCCCCCGCCCCCAACACACACACAAA